TTTGTAGGCATTCTTAACTTGGAACCCCTTGAAACTGGACATGATTTTGTGTTTGTATGATGAGCAAATATGCATTTTTTCTGGAGAGAAGGTCTTCACCTTTCATCAGATTTTCTGAGACTCAAAAATAAAGAGATTGGATCTGTGCAACCTTAACTGTACTTTCCAATATGGTGGCATTAGCCACATTTCAAGTGTACAATGACCACATGGGGCAGTGGCTACTGAATTAGACAGTGCAATACATAACGTTTCCCCATCACAGAAAGTTCCACTGGACAGTGCTGCCTTAGAGAAATGGTGTTTTCTCTGTGAAATTTCCATGAGAAAGCTTGGATATCAGACACTGGCATTCAAATTTCTTCCTGGTGCTGTGGAATACTGTAGGTCCTTGGGAGCCCAATATCTAAACCTGCTGACTACCACCTAGTAGTGACCAGAAGATGCTTTTCTTTGGCTGCTTGGCATTCTATCAGCATGGATTCCTATCAAGGAAAAGATAGAATCAATTACTTAGGTGATATGAATTATTTAGGGATTATGCTGTGTTTGAGTGACCTCAGATTTGGGCAGGCTTCAAAAAAGCATGAAGAGAACATTAGAAAGGTCTGGATTAAAACTACCACTGAAGCACTGGCTGGTGTTTCTCAGTGGTTAGAGTGTTGGCCCGCACACCAAAGGTTCACATATCTGTGTTGCAGGTTCAATCCCTGACCCCAGTCAGGGCATGTGCAGGAGGCAACCAATTGATGACTTTCTCTTATATCAATGTTCCTCTCTCTCCCCGCCCCCCTCCTCTCTCCCTTCCACCCTCTCTAAAAATCAATGGAAAAATGTCCTCAGGTGAGATTTAGAAAAAGAAAAAAACTATCAGTATTCATCAGCAATTAAAAGATGCTGTTTCTCTCTTTTACTTTTACAGAGGTTAGTAGACACCCCTGTGAGGTCAGCAAGGGCTGGGATTACATGGTGGGACAGGGAATTTTGGCAATTCTTTGCTCTTTATGAATGTTAAATTTCTATTTCTATAATTAGAAAGAGTTCTGCTCTGCATGTTCACAGTTCTCAGTAGCACAATAAAAGGAAATAGACTCAATAGTCCTACTCCATGATAATGTAGGGACATAGCACTGTTTGATGAATAGGCCTGGACTTTGATCCCAAACCTGGGGTTCAGTCCAGACTTTACACTGATGCCATAAAATTGGATATATTATTTAGCACAGGGGTCCTCAAACTATGGCCCACGGGCCACATGCAAATACAAATATTGTATTTGTTCCTGTTTTGTATTTTTTAATTCAAAATAAGATATGTGCAGTGTGCATAGGAATTTGTTCATAGTTTTTTTTTAAACTATAGTCTGGCCCTCCAACGGTCTGAGGGACAGTGAACTGGCCCCCTGTTTAAAAAGTTTGAGGACCCCTGGTTTAGCATCTCTAAGCCTCCATTCTATCATCTGGAAAATGTGGATCATACACCATAAGGTCCTGGGAAAGACTGAATACGATATCCACCTACGTGTGAAGTGCAGTACCTCACTTATAGCAAGCTCTGAACAAACAGCAGCCGTAATTGTCTTCTTTCACGGTCTTCATGCTCCATCTTACTTACTGGGAATACCCTTTGTTTTGGATACCCTGGATTTTTAATTACTATGAACACCTATTTCTAATGGCTGCTTCCAGCCCAACGTTTCCAATAGTTCTTCCTGATTTATAAATCACAGACTAAAGGGGCTAAGATATGTGGTATTACATGGAAGGTAAGAGATGGGGCAGTTACTTGTACTGAGGATTGTGCTAGTTGCTTCGAAAATTATTGAGATCACTGTATTCCTCCCAGACTTAAATGTAATAGGGG